TCTCCTCCTTGCTAAGGTGCTCTGCTTTTGGGAAAAGGAATAGAAAAGAAAATAGAAAATGCATCCCATCACCAAAACAGAGCACCTGACAAACTTGACTTTGCCAGCGCTATTCCTCACCTGCTGACTGTGGTTTAGTGCCAGGTAGTCCAGGCTCCTCTCAGCCTCTTGCTTTTGGCTTGCTCTTTTTTCCTGCTAGGAACTGGATGAGTTTCCTGGAGCGTCGCCCAATGTGAAGGAAGTGGCCAGAGCCGTCACTGCGCTGCAGAACTGGCCCTTCTTCCAGCTCGAGGGGCTGGTTCATCTCCTTATTCCATCTGCAGCCTCTAAGCACATTTTAACCTGATTAATGCATTAAAATATAGCTCCCATTAGCTGCCCGAATAGTTCTCATCAGCGTCATAAGCGTGTCTATGACCATGGCTTTGGGTTAGTGATGCAGCATCAGTCAAACCTCTATAAAATCGTAATCACTCTAGTCTGCAGTCCAGGGCTTGCTGAAAACATCTCCTGAGTCGCCTTACTAACATACATATGCTTATTTCTTTCTGGCTAACTCTGCAAGTTTAAAGATGTGGGTTCTGTCCAATGGCACCCATGCGAGTGGGAGGAGGTTGAACCCAGGACTCCCCCTTCCTACCTGTCTCTCAAGTGCTCATGGTCCTCCCAGTCCATCAGCAGCTGCTTGGGCCTCTCCAGGTCCCACAGCCCCCCTGCACAAGGGCCTCATCCAGCTTCAGAGTCTCCTGCAACACCTCCGAGTGTGGGATTGCTGATCTTGGAAGTGGAAGGGCATTTTTGGGCAGATCATCTGCTGGCCACATCCCAAGGAAAGCTGATGTCCACTTGGAAGCAGAGAGAGGCTAATGGTGCAAGTCTGCTGGGGATGCTCCTTCGGGTCAGCAGCCCCAACTTCTTGTGATGGGTGTACAAGCCCCATAGATGTCCTTTGAATCCAGCCTGGACAGCTCTGTCCGTGCCAACACCACGTGCAGGCAAGGGGGACAGGTGGGAAACAATTGCTTGAGATTTGCTTTCTCTGCTGCCTATGCTGCAAGAAGAAGGCTCAGAGGCAGCTTAGGGTGAGCTCATGGTCCAGGGGGATCCAGCACTTCACTGCTCCCTGAAAAATCTCCATTTTCAGGATGCTGTGTAATGCAAACCTCTCTGCTGGCATCTGCTCCTTGAGGAGCTGCAGCTCCGGCTGCAGATAAAACCCTTTCGTGGAGCAGCAAACAGGATCTATGGCAGCCCAGCTGGTATCCTGGATCTTTTCATGTCCTCCAACCTGGAAAAAAACCACAACTGACCCTTTGAAAATTTCATGAGGGTGGCTGAGAGCTGCCTGTCTCTCACTGCCACTTGCTTTTGGAAGTCACTTGACTGCACCAGCTGTGACAAATGCCAGCAGGAGGCTCATGCCAAGAGGGAGGGCAGTGAGGGCACCGGGATTAGAGACCAAAATATTTATTGGGGCTTTGGCAGCACGCAGACAGGCACTGCAGCCCCAGAGCTGCAGAGCCCCAAGCCATGAATTAGAGGGGACAGCTATAAAATGAAATGCAATTTCCTCTCTCAAGTCCTTCTCCTTGAGAGAGGACTGGCCTTGGTCTGGCCAGGACCTTCTCCTCCCTCTGGGCTGCTGATTTGCTCCTTTGCTGGCCTCAGATCTGCTTGCAAGGGAGATCCGGGATGGAAAAACCCCCAGGATTCATCCCGGGGGCTGGCAGAGATGCAGCCACAAGGTAATTCCCAGGCCTGGAGACCTCCCTCAGGACAGGCTAATTAAATTAATGAGCTAGATTATTTTCTGTTAGCTACCTGTGCCTTCCCACAACAGTTCAGTGTGGTACCAAGGACCCTCCTTAGTATTTTGGTCTCCCTCTGGGCCCCTCTCAGCCTCATGATACACCGGAACATCCTTAAGGGTTAATGTAGGATTATCTCAAGGAGCTACAACCTCCCAAGAGCACAGAAGATGGCGATTGGCAGCTCATTAATCCTGGAATTACTTGATAACTTTAAATACAATCAAGTAATCAGCAGGAGTATGTAATTATTATTTATGCACACGGTGCTTACCAAATTACAGCGCTTGCTGCGACGAGCAAATTACTTCTGCGATGCAAGAGCTTGACCAGAAAGCGGTGCCTGTGGCTGAATTTCACTGCTGAACAGAGGGGCAAAATGAAATTTTGTTTTAATTGGTTCCCCCATCCTGCTGGGAAGTGTGTTGCGGTTTTATCCTGCCCGGCACGGCTGGTGCCAGGGCCTCAGATGCCCTATGAGAAGCTTGAAGGGAGGATTTGGCTTCTTCAGCCCTGATGGCATTTGCCACCCAACAAGATAGGAGAGCTGTCACGGGGAGCAAAAGGGAAAAACAGACCCGCAAAACCCTTGTGGGAGGAATCAAAGTGATTTTAATCAAAGAAAGCAGAGAATACACTTGCCTCTCCCTAGCTTCGGAAAGCAAAGTTGTGTAGATCCAAACAGACCCCTGGGAGGAGGGCAGTGGTGATGCAAACACAGGTCCTTTTCTTTGGGTTTCTTTGTTGGGTTTTGAAATTTTCACCACCTTTTCCCCCCTCCCAGGTGACTCAACTTTAGAAAATCCAAACCAACCACGTGCTGCAGAGCTTTTTGATAACATCTCTTCTACAGACAACACAAACCTTCAGGGAGCATTTCCACTTCTCCAAAGCACACAGAACTCGTTCCTCTCCTGCCAGGGACCCAGGAGGGAAATCAAACCAACCCAGAGGGAAACAGAAGAAAGATATTTTTCCAGCTCTTTTCATCGAGTTTGTACCATTTTGCAAATTGCCTTAAAGGGGAATTAAAAAACAAACAAAACACACGCCACAGTGCTGTCACTTTTCCCATTGCACAGGGACTAATTTTCTCAAACCCATGGAATGGTTATGGGGCAAACTAGAGGTTTTAGTTTGTGCCTCATTTTATAATTTTTTTTTTTAATTCCTTCTTGTCATTTTAGCCTGAGGAAATGAGAGCAGAGCTATTTCGGAGCTGCTTCCAGCCTCCCTGGGACAGGGAATACTGAGCAGGAAAACAGAGGTGCAGGAGCATGGAGGGTCTGGAAGCAGCTCCCAGAGAGTAGCAGCGGTGGCAGCCCCTTGGGCCTGGGGAGAAGTCCCAGCACAGGGCCCCACTGCAGCAAATCAGGCCAGTGCTGGTAAAGTCAACAAAAGCACGGGCTAGTTTGTGCATCCTCTGTGCCAAAGTGAGGAATGAAATGGTTGGAAGGGGTATGGGACCTCCACGGGCATCTCACTGCCTGCAGCTGCCAGGGACACAGAGATGGGCCAAGGCATGTGGCCATGACTAACGCCCATGGTATCAAAACCCAGCTCTGTAAAGCAAAGTCTAGATTTGGCACAAGACTCTCCATTCATTGCTGGTCAACCCAGGAGGCTGGAGACATCCCCAGCACACGCTCACTGGCAGGGTGAGTAGAATTCCAGCATGAGGATGAGCAGGATCGGGCACCACGCACTGATATTTCAAGAAATTGATCCCACAAGCCCTGCCCAGCATTGGCCCCATAGGAGCAGTCAGTCAATCTGTTCCAGGCCAGGAGCTTGGACAAGCCCCATTTGGGACCATTGTGCCCAGGGTGAAGGCTGTGGTGGCTGCAAGGGAGGCAGCTGTGACACCTTGGGGCTCCTGCAGCTCCTCTTCTGGCTCCAGCAACAGCGCGGGAGATGAAGGAACAGTCTTGGTGGTCTCAGCCCATGGGGAATCCTGGAGCGGCCCCGAGGGTTTCCCATAGCTCTTCCCATCCTCATCCATGCATCGACCCTGGGCAGTGCGGGAAGGTCCTGGCTCCTGCCCCGTTCTCCACGGCAGGGCTGCGGTCCAAGGAGACGCGGCCCCGCGGCCCGGCTCACACGGCCGTGGACTGCTTGATGCTGTGGAAGCTGATGCGGGCCGGCGCGGTGGGGGTGGACATCGCCATCAAAACCCCTGGGACTACAGAAAGAGCAGGCTGAACTATGGAGGACAGGACTCCCCACCAGCTCAGGGCATCATTCCTTGGGGACCCAGACCTTCCTCTTCTCTAGTCCCTCTTTTCAGGATCCAGAAACAAAAGCAAGTTTAAGTATTGCTCAGATTCACCAGTAACCCTTATCATCTTTATCCTTTCAGCTGGAAATGCCACTAAAACGCAGCCCAGCTTGGGCCTACAAGCTCAGATTCACCAGTAACCCTTATCTTTATCCTTTCAGCTGGAAATGCCGCTAAAACGCAGCCCAGCTTGGGCCTACAACCTGGAGAAGGTTGCAGGAGTCTGTCAGGTCCCAAGTCACCTAGCTTTGGCATGATGTCTGCAAAACCCAAAACTCAAAAAAGCTGAACTCCATTCAGTTTGTGGGAAAGAAGTGGCAAAAAAAATCTCTATTTTCCTGAGTTTTGAAGGCTGAGTCTTCTTGTTAAACCAAACAAGCCATAACAAACCCCAATGAAATAGTATTTAAAAGACAGACAGCTTTCTAATCAGTGAAACCATGGAAGCAGTCAGCTGTGTTTGTTTTGGAAGGGCTTTTTCATAGGCAATGCTCACAAGCAGCAAATGAAACTACAGGAAGCTGCAAAAACCTCCTAAATTTCCTATGAGAAACAAGAGCCCATTTTCTGACAGCTCCTACCAGCAGCCGTGCTCCTGGGGGAGGATTCCCCATGGACAAGGCTGCAGACAGAGATAAAGCTTTGTCATTGGAAATACCTTCAGCTGGGGAACAAGGCTGGAGAGACTCTGCCTTGGCCCGGATAGTAGTCCCTGATGCTGAACTTGGGTCCGATTCCCCTTTCTCTACCAGGGCACTCTGGATGCCTTGTAAGCATCCCCTGAGAATATGCACCAGAAGCACTGCAGAGGCAAGAACCCTTCAAACCACATCCCACCAAGCTTGTGTCTGCATGCAAGAAACTATGCAGATATGTCCCAAGAAGCTCCTGCGCATCCCTAGCCCCATGCTCACCTCGCTGTTCAGAAAACAGTAGAAGACAGAGACGAAGAAGCCCTAGAAGAGAGAAGAGAGGCAGAGTAACCATCAGTGCATAGGGTTTTGCATCAGCACAGCCACCTTGGAGCAACCCTGGACCTGGGGAGGTCGCTCCTGCTCTTGGGAGGGATGAGGAGGCCCAAGTGGAGCAAGGAAGCATCAGGGTTCTGGCTGACATGACATCCCTTAGGGGAACAGGATGGCAACATTACTACTAGTGCTGGGGACCATACCTGGAAGGACTCCAGAAAGGAGTTAAAGTAGATGAAGACGATCCTGGAGATCTCATCCTCACCCGGGTTGACGAAGAACAGCATGTAGGTGATTCCCAGTAAAGGCAACAGTACCAGGGTGGCCTTGACAGCTTTTCTGGGGAGGAAAAATAGCTGAGCTGCAGCCCCCTTTGCATTTTGGATGTCATGCTTTGGTTTCTCCATTGAAGAAGGGAGGTGGATAGAGGAGACCTGACCTTGGGCTCTTGGGAAGTAACTGCCTGACTGTTACTGGACTTGATTAAAAACAATTAAGGAGGAGAAAATAATTCATAGCCCTCAGTATGGGTTTATGAAAAACTGATCTTGTCTAAGTAATTCAATCTCTCTTTTTGATGAGATGACATGTTCAGTTTGTAAGAGTAATAGAGCTGAGGTAAGAGACTCCTGAAAGAATCGAGGCTTGATGTCTCATTTATTTTGATTAGAGAAGAACAATGCAAAGTCAACACTTTTTCCCCCTAAAACTCTCACTAACGCACAGATCCAAACACCGTTTAACACAGGGAAAAATCCTCTCCCAATGGGGTGAGGTGGAATCCTACAGGCAGTCATGGAACCTGCGCTGCTCTGTCACTGTGTCACTGACTTGGAGGAAAGCCGTATTTTCACCGAAACCAACTGGCAGATGGCACAGAGGCCTGAGGAGCTGGAAATAATTGAGCTTGAGCTGGCTCTGAAGAGCAGCTCGGAGGCTTGGGCAGCATCCAGGGCTTGTGACACTGCCCAGACTCCGGGATCAGCAAGTGCCTCCAAACACAGGCTGTTTGGAGCAGCCTCGGAGAGGTGGCTGAAATGAAGCATCCAGGCCCAGGAGGAACTGGTCAGGTTCAGAGGGGAGATGGAAAGAGCAAGTGAATGAACTGCCTCAAAGGTGAAAAGGGCTCCCCACACCTACTGCTAAAAAGGAGCAGTTTTGGCAGAAATTCTCCTAGTCCAGAAGCCTTCATTCTGATGAGCTGTTTCCTGCCTGTGGCATGGGACATGACATCCCAGGGGACTTGGGGCCATCAAACAGGACTATAGCAAGAGCCAATAATTTGAGACGAAAAATAAGGGACAAGGACTTGCTCATGGTGAAAATCATCCCCACCCAAACTCTGGAAAAGGCTGGTAAATCCAAAGTCTTTCAAAATTGCTTATGGGGGCCAACCAGCCTGGCTTATTTTAATAATCTCTGATCTTCAGCTGAACGATTCAACCCAGCTCAACACCCCGCAATGAGATGAGCTGGCATTTCTCAGTTTTTATGGTTTTAACTGAGAAAAAAACATCAAAAAGAACAAACATTCTCCATCCCCAAACCTGCCTCATGCTACCTGACATGCAGTTCACTGATTCCTGTTTGCAAAGAGAAGCTCTGCAAAACCTCAAAACAGCTTCTTGCTGCAGGCACTTCAAAGATGCTCTGGCCATGCAGCTCCTGAGCTGTCTGCAAAATATTCTGAGAGGAAAGGGTTAAATCTTGCTGTCATTTGACTGATACCACTGCCTTTTCCTTGCGGGTTCACAGGCAGACGCTCGAGGTGGCATTGATTACTCCTCCTTCCTTGTTCTTTGCTTTGCTGCCAAGCAGAGATTTAATTCTCACCTCCGTGCCAGGATTTGCAGGTCTGACTGGTGAACTGATCAGGTCCCACCAGGAGACACTTTCTCAAAGACTTAAACTCCCAATTGCTTCAACGAAAGGTGGCTCCAGCTGCTCATGTTCCCTGGTGTAAAGCTCTCTGGCCACGATTTCCAAACACCCCCAGCTGCAACGGTCAGATGTTTCCAAGAGGTATCTGAGATGCTTTCAGCTGTCTCCCTTTGTGCCCCTGCTCCAAAATCTGCTAGTCACCATCTCCTGGCTTTGTTCTTACCTGTATTGGATCGTCTCTGATGTGGTCGAGGCTCGAAGCTTCGTCATAAGGATTCGAACGATATTGAACAGAAAGATGAAGTTGATCTGGAAGGAAGGGGGGACCCATTAGCATTTGCTGCCTGGATGCTGCCCCTTCCCTGGGCTGCCCCGAGCACCTGCAATGTTAGTGATCCCCAAAGAGCAGCAGGCTCCTCCAGAGCCATCACCTTTCAGCAGAATTATCATGTTTCACCAGAGCCATCAGCCTCCAGGTCTCTGCTGCAATTTCAGCTTAGTTTAAATCTGTACAGCCCTTTCCTGCTTCGTCTTGAGCAGCAAAGACAACGAGCTGTGCAGCACAACTAAACCTTCCCTTGAACCTGAGCTGAGGCTGGACAGGCAAGAAGCAGTTAAATTGGCTGAAACACTCTACTTCTTGCAGAGATACCTATTGCTTTCGGACACTGAATTTATTGCCCTTTCTTAAAAAAATATCGCTGGAGCAATAAAACTTTGGACTTCATCTGAGGGAGCAGGGACAGCAGAGCAGACAAGAAGGGTGAGATAGCAAGAGGCAGAGGAAGGGATGAGGGGAGAAGGGTGGGCTGGAAAAGAAGGAATAAGAGGCCAAAGGGATATGGGGAGAGTCCAAATTCCCTCAAGCTTGGCTGAGTGAGGCTGGGCATGCAAGGGGACAGTGCTGCTCTGATGCAGCAGCAGAACCTGCTGCAGCGGGGTGATGCTAAGGGAAAGGGCAAAACCCTGCTCAGCTGCAGCCATACCCATGAGCAATAGAAAAGACCCCGTTTTAGCCAGCAAGCTGTCTTTGCTCTTACCAGAAGCACCAGGATCATGGGACCTTGGTATATGTAGTCAGTATAAACTCCTGCTCGCTTCCCAAACCAGCACCTGGAAGGCAAGGACAAGCAGTGCTAGACAGCAATAGTTCCCCAGCTCCTACACTGTCCTCAGCAAATCCTGCGGGAACTCATGCAAGTATCCATGTCTTAAGAGCACTGCACTTGAAATTTTGTTAAGCCTGAGCTGCTGTGGTGTGCCTAGCACAGACCTTTTTGAGTCACTGAAGTCACAGGGAAAAACTAACACTGAAAAACAAGACAAGCTGCCATTCATCTGAGCAGGCTCCTTTTAAACTTCACAATACACATGATGAACTCATCAAGTTCCTGCTAAGTCCTCCATTAGCAAGTCTCTGTGAAAATGGCTCAGGTGGTGGTAGTTTATATCTCTGCTGGTAGATTAAATCCCTGCTCCATTTAGCAAACACTTTGTAGGAGCTCTAGCTTAATCTAGCTTTTTCCCCCTGAAAATCTCATTTGTCCTTTGAGGAGGAAAAATGCAGAAGCCAGCAGCTGCAACGAGGGCTCAAGCTGCAGAGAGCCTAACAGTAGAATAAAAGACCAGGTGAATGGATGTCAACTTCTCTCCATCCTGTCTCTGTATCCTGACTTATGTCAGCCCTTACTTCCAGGCGGGAACCAGGCCTGCTGCCGTGTATACGGCAAAAAGAGATAGGAAAGACAGGGGAAAGAACAGAATTGGGGCTTACTTCTCGTTGTCATAGTACAGCTTCCCGATGGCCCAGGCGACAATGATGGGAAAGGGGATACCTGTAAATGAACACAGAGGTGAGACCATGGGATGCAACCTGATGACCAAGTTGTGCCATAACAGCGATTTTCCAGCACAGGGCTCAGAGAGAGTTACAGGCTGAACCAACATGGCCTGTTGAGTCCCGTACGTGGACAGCCCTTTGCAGCTATGCCCGTGTGAGCAGAGGGTGAGGATGGGCATCCCCATCACTAAAGGCTCGTGGCCCTGCACAAGGAGGGGAGATGCAGTGCTTACACCAGCCGATGCAGATGAACATCCACTTGCGGAGCTTGTCTGTGGAGTAGGTGAGCACGATGGCCGTGTGCAGGTAGCAGCCCTCGCCAAACATCCAGAAGAAGTTGGTGACATGGAAATAATTGTAGGCAGCTGTGACCAAGCGACACCAGGCCTGCAAAGGAGACAGGTGGGTTAGGAGATGTGGAGGGTGGAGAGCAGAGCTGCTCAAGGAGAGAAGGAACGGGTGGCCCTTCTCTGAGCACCACTGCTCCCAGCTGGGCCACATCAAGAAAAGCCCAGTATCTTCTTCAAGGGTGTCCATTGCTGGACATAGGTAAAAGGTCACACTGCCTCTGTGTTACAGTGGGGAAACTGAGGCAGCTGGTCAGCCAATAGAGCAATTGAACCAGATTTCCAAGCTGCTCCTGTGGCCTCATCTATAGGATCCTTGAGATCCCCCCATAGCCAAGCTGACTGTCCCCACGGTTGACTCAGCAGCCCAGCAGAGCTGCACTTACCACGTTGCTCTCGTGCACCTCTGGGTTCATCGTGAGCTGAACCACAAACCACGTGGCATTGCGTAGGATGAAGGCTGTGATGAGGTTCCAGTGAATGATGTTCCTCAGGCACCGGATGCTCCTGGGGAAGGACAAGCGACCATCAGGGCATGGAGAGCATGTAGAAACTGGCCACATCATACCCCTGGAGCAGGTGAGCATGACCCATGCCAGGAGGAAAAACAGGACCATGCGACCTGTCTCCATAATCCCAAAACAGTAGGAGAAACATACCCCAGGAGCTAGGCAAAATCCTCCCAGAGCAAAGGGCATCTGGAAAGTGGCACTCACAGGAGGAGATGGCAAAACACAGGGGCTCCAGGTCCATCCTTAGCCCAAGTGCCTTGGGGTGATCTCTCCAGATGTGTCCCCCTCACATAGGAGGTTTGGCCGCAGCAGGCCAGGTCACTCACCGTAGGCGCATGAAGAGGATGAAGGCCACGAGCAGGGCCCCCAGCGAGACACAGTGCCCCAGGTAGTTGATGATGACAGCGATGTGGTAGTGCAGCTTGCTTTTCTTCTGCAGGGGCAAGGGACAGGGTCAGCACTGGCTGTGGGTACCACCCCGCACACCCCATCACGTCAGCTCTGAAATGTGGTGAGATTTTTTGCAGTTCCACTCAAAAAACACTTGGAGACCCTACCCAACCAATGTGGGAAAAATAGGAGATGAAAGAACGGGAAGGAGAGCTGGAGTTGAAAGGGACTTGTGTCCTACATAGGCCCAGGCAGCAAGCTAGTAGTGACAGACCCATGGAGACAGTCCCTGTAGCAGCCCTGTTCCCTGCAGGGACATCTCTGGCCCATGTCTGGGGATATCCTGCTTTTAATTCAGCCAAGCTGCCTGGAAATGTGACATCCGATGTCTCAGTTCATTCCTCTTTGCCCTGGGGGCAGCTCAGAGACTTGGGTGTATTTGGGCAGGGGGAGCAGGGGACCACGGGAAGGCGTGTGTAATGATTAAATTAATTGATTGGTCCTGCTGTTAGGCACTCATCCAACCTGTGAATTAGCAATTAACTGAGTGAGAAAACCACTCCTGGCAAGAGATATCAGCATCTTAAATACTAGAGGTGGCTATTAGCTGCAAATGAACAGCCCATATCTCTGCTCTGAGGGTGGCCCTTCTTTGGATTGTACAAACCTTGGTCCCCATTCTTTTTTAAAATCCCTTTCAGCATTTTTCTTCCTCCCCAGAAACATCTTTATTTCATTGCCATCTGCCAGTAGGCAGGGGCAGGATTTGCACTGAGGACTTGTGTTGGGAGGGACAGATGAAGCAGAGGATGGGGCTAGAGGGCTTGTTATCCACACCCAGGGCTCAGGGGACTTCACACTACAAAATCCTCCTGGCTTTTTAAGAGGGAAGGAAAACCATTCTTTCCTCTCCAAGGAGTGAAAATGCAGACCAGTGAGGAAGGTGCTATGTGCTGCATGTGACCCTAAAGAATTGGACAGCCCCCTTGAGCATTCCAAGCTGTTCCCTACCCTGTACCCGTCTGCCTGGCCAAGCCAAGCTCCTACCTCTTCGCTGAGGATTAGCTGGCACTGGGAGTAGTTGACACGTGCGGCCCAGCTCCCGTTGGCCAAGCACTCCCTGTAGCCATTGTCTGCAAGAGAGGATGGGCACAGAGAGGTTAATGCATGCGCTGGACACAAACCTTCAGGAAAACCAAAAATGTGACCTCATGATCATTAGGAATCATGGCGTGTGATGTCAAGCCTGTGGAGTCTTTTTCCTCAGAGCAGGACTTGGTTGCTATTGCAGGACCTCAGCACTGTGTGGCAGGGCGTCATCCCTGCTCTGCAAAGCTCTTGTTTTATAAGCAAACAAGAAAGCAGGAGCCTTTTCAAGAACACTGAAGGGTCTGGGGAAGTGGTTTCAAGCCAAAAAGAGGATCTGTGCCTTGGCATGCCTCTCCGCATCTTCCAAAATGCTCATGGTCCCCCAAATTTCCCTTGGAACATCTGGTAACCTCCTTTCTAGACCTGGGTTGAACCGCTTTCTGAAAAGCATTTGTTTCTCATGCAATCTGGAAATCCAAGTCTGGTCTCCGAGCAGCCACAGATTCAGGCCGAGTCACGAGACCAGTTGCTGGCTTGACATGTCAAGGGTTCCCCACTTGACTATAAGGGATTTCCCTGAATAAATAATCAGATTGAAGAGAGTTAAGGACCGGGTCTGCTTCCGAAGAGCAGGAAATTATCCCAGGTTTTTGCTAAAGCAAATGACTGCAGCTCTGCACAGGGACCCAGAGAGGGTTCAAGCAGGCTGGAGCCAGAGACCTGCCCGTGTCCCAGAGCTCTGCCCCTCAGCAGCCCCGGTGCCTCTGGACACCGACATGTCAAGGGAGAGGCACGAAAGGGCCCTGATCACATTTTCTCTTCCTCGGAACGCTTTGCTCGAGTGATCACCTGCCATCCAGCGACTGCTGCTTCAATGACAGCGTGAAGTTTGCACTTTTCTCCCTGCATTAGTAGCTTTCTCAGCCTCCGGCAAGCTCCGTCTCTTCGGGACCACGAGACATAAGGCTAATTGGGAAGATGCGGCTGTGACAGGCCCAAAGCAGCCTCCAATTAGCATTAGTGCAGGGGCAACGCCAGGACGGGGGTGACTTCAGGGCTCTGCTATTAACAGAAGAGACCGGGAGCCTCATCAAGGTGACGGGACAGAGACGGGAGCGGCTCTTAGGCAGACCCGATATGGATTAATTCAAAGAGACTCTTACAACGGCATGAAAGCACCATAAAGCAAAAGCTGTCTGTGGATGATGTGCCATTGGGGCAAAAACCTGGAGGATAAAAACCTTGATGTTTTCTGCAGGAAGCAAGATGCTTCTTTCATAAGAATTATCACTGCTCATGTACCCCTAGCCCCCAGTGTACGGTTCTCTTTCCAAACTCTGCCCATCCCTTGCCCACCCACGTCTCCATGCCTGCTGGTGGTGCCCATCTCACTTGTGGTGTTGTACCGCACACCGTAGAAGTACTCCGGGCAGGGCCGAGCCACCAGTTGTCCTACGGCGCTCCGAGGCCAGCACGTGCCAATCAGGTCTACCGAGGCGTTACACTGGGGACCTGGGGAAGGAAAAAGGCAGAGGTTAGCAGAGAGATCTGAGTCCACCTCTGGAATGCTGAAGGACCCAGGTTCATCCTGGGAGAGATGAGGCTGGAGTCCCTGCTACACCAAGGGTTCAGTGGCCGCTCTTCTCCCACTGGACCTTCAAGATTGATGCCAAACAGGCTCCGTGCCAAGACTCTCCAAGGGCAGCTTGAGCCAGCCTGTCCCTCCATATTACACCAGTCCCTTCTAAGTACCTGATAAGCTTGATCTGGTGCAAACTTGGCTTTCTAACTTGGTTTCCTGAGTTACCAATGGTCCTGGCTTTAGTCTTCTTGCCTTGTTATTCCTTGACCATGACTTTGGCATATAATGGCATATATTGGCCACCAATAAGCCAGGTTGTCCTAGCCTTTCCCAGGGGTAATGCCAGCCTGGTGCTCGCGGGATTCTTCTTGAAGACTCCTTTCCTTGTGATCCTTTATACCTCCCTGTTGCAAGGTTTCTTTCCCAACTCCTGGTGCTGATCTCGTCCAGCCTTTGCCAGGAAGAAAGCTCTGTCTACTGTTGCAAGTCAAGAAAGTGCTTTTCCAGCTATGCAAGTGCACTAACGTGGGCATTAGGTAGGCCGGATTGCCATTTTTTCACATAAATTTTGTATGCATTTAGTACAACAGGCACCATAGCTAAACCTCTTAACTATGTGTCAGAACGATGTAGGAAGCACAACAGCTGTGTAATGTCAACATAATGCAGTCATTAAGCAGCTGTGGCCTGAGGATGGATGGGCCCTCAAAGGGTAAGGGTTCACTGTAAACCCCTCCTGGGTACCAGAAATGCCTGGGCTGCCAGGGCCAAGATGAACATTTCCAAAGGCAAATCACCTCAATTCACAGCTCTTCTGGGTGTGAGAACACACCATTTCCTCCTGACCAAGCCTTGCTTTTTTGCAGGCCTTCTCAGTGATTACTCATGGATAGAGATTGCTAAAACCCAGTTAAACAAAAGCAAAATATTGCCTTATTGTTATGATTATTTTCATGAGGGGGGGATGTGTCACCATTGCTAAATTGAAAATGAACAAGCTCCTTGGCTTGATCAAAATTCCTGGAGGAACATAATCCTGGAGCAAATTCACAGTGAAAAAGGAGTTTTCTCCAACACCCCTGCAAGAAAAAAGTCGTCATCCAAGGAACCCATATGTGCATGCTGGGGAATCATTCAGAGCATGGTGAGTGCTACCACCTCCCTCCCATAGCTGATAGTGAGAAATTAATTTTAACGATGACCCTTGCTTTTAGCTTTGCTAATGTGTATGTTGCTGTAGCAACCTTCACTTTAAGTATTTTGAGGCTACATTTCTCAGGAAACACCATGTGTTTACATCACTATGCGTATTGTATGGATGCCTGTGCTTATCTGAATCAATTAGCAATTGTTGAGCTCTTCAGATATTTTGACCCAAAACTGACTCGGAAGCAGAGGGTCAGAAAATAGAGTCTGTGCTTAAAATTTTATGGCATTATGTAGCCAGGTAGAGAAGAGAGAAACAGTAATTACTCCCACTAAGGATAAATTTAAAGTGTGAGTGCTCTCTATTAGCCACCTGGGAATCCACCCAGGCAAGATCTCATAAATACTTGGACTAGGAAACACTTTAAATAACCCATAAAGTACAGACACAGGGAAAATGCTAGTGGTGAAAGCTTCCGCTGTGGTGGTGGGGCTAAGCACAAAGCCCATGTTCCCTGGCTGCCCCATGCCTCAGTTTCCCTACCTGCAATGCTAGGGGCTGTGGCACAGCAGGGACACGGAGCAATTAAAGATCAGCAGAGCTGCAGACTGACAGCAACAGGATGCTCAAGCAGCAGAGAGCAAACAGCAGCAATATCACCAATAGCCAAAACCAAGATAACTTCATGAAGATCGTGTTGGCAAAGGTGGCATCATCCTGTTATAAAGCTATTGAAGGTTGGGTATATCATCTTCATGTTACCCCCAGACACTCAGTTTAATGCAGTGGGGCACTCCAATCAAATCTTCATGGTCCCCCATCAGTCACAGAATTGCTTTTGGTGCTCTCTGCAGCACGCAGGCAAGGGGGGAAAATAAATCGGCTGTTTAGGGAAGGGGTGAGGTAACAGTAAAGGCAAAGAGGGCCATGAGGGCTGTGACATCCCCTTGCCCAGCATGACTGCCTGCTCCACCTGCTCCCAGCATTTGGAGCACTATTTAGCATGGAAATGTTATATATCAGTGCTGAACGCGTTTGTGTCTGCTCCTCAGCCTGTGTTTGCAGAGGGATTACCCTCCCAGGTTCTGCATGCACCGGCTCTGGCTCTCTCAGCCTTACTGGATGTTATAGACACAGTTATGGTCTTTGTGGTGTTACATCCAGAAAGGTTGTTGAGCCTCCTACGTGCACCCCAACTCCCAGATCTGTCTCCCTCCCACACAAAAATAGCACATTTGGGGTGGGAGGGAGCTGGCCCTGCTCTGAGACAGGGAGTGCAGAACAGCGGAAGTCACTCAAATCCCTTCCCACCCAATTTTCTTCTTTCAGTTCAGCTTTGACTGCTTTAAAGCAATATAAACTAATTCCTTTACCCTGGAGAAAGAGGACCTGTCCAGGGAACTACACTGACACAACTATATCACTACAACTCCAGCAATAGACAGCATAGGGATATTTATTGGGCTTTCATAGTAGCACAGCAAACTTCTTTCCTACGGGGCAGGCTTCTCCAGTTGCCTCCATTGCTCAATGGGAGCTCTGCAGCAGGTCTGAACTAAAACCACACAGGTGTACAATGCCAGACCGGGCACAACCTGCCAGGCCTAGCTAATCTGCCAAAAGATTGAGCAAACCTGAAGAGCAAACTTGGCAAACAGCTTCCCAAGCCTTACAAGGGGCAGGGCTTTGCATAGTCATGTCAGCACGCTCCTCTGTCCCCAACAACACCTCAAAGCATGAAGCATCACTCCTGGTTACCATTTCAACTAGGGGCTGGAAAGGCAACCAGAACCTGAATCACAGACTCATTCCCATGCCTGAGAGCAACCAGGTTATTTATCTGAGGTCTCCCAGGAGGGTGAGTAACAACCCAAACACATTAGTTCATCTCTTTGTCGGTCCTGAGCCCCTACTCGAGCACGTCTATCTCTGTCCATACCTGATGGCCTCCGTGTTGCCTGGCCGCTGGGGCACTTTGAGCTGGTGGTAGCTGTGGCCATCGGCACCCGTGGGGAGTCACTCCTGGAGCATTTGCATTTGGCAATCAGAGCTTCAGCTTCACATCTAACCAAAATAGACCCTCCCAGCCAGTGCCTGGCTAAGCAGCCAAGCTGTAAAGGGTCCTGGTTCTCTCCTGCACACATACTACTGTTCTGGTAGGGCAGAAGGTGCCATTCCACACAGCCTATTGCCCTAGGAAAGGGCTTCTGGCTGAGGAAGCTCTTATTTAAGGGCTCTGGTTCACCCAGGAGGGTGGTTCATGAGTGTGCAGGTGCAGTAGATCTGTTTGCAGCTGTGTGTGATCCCCTGATAAGCTCAGGTGCTAAGTGCCTATGGGTGAGCTCAAGGTACTAAGAGAAATAGCACAGAGGACAGTTTTGCATTAACGGGGGGCTGAAATTGGATGCTCAAGATGCCTTGCTGCGCTGTGGGGCTGGACTGGGAATGGCTGTGGTTGTCTCAGAGTACACAGATCCCTTCCCACATCCTATCACCAGTGACACTTTGGATATTTCTATTGATCTCTGTAAGCATCCAGTCCTTAAAAAAATCCCCAGATTCTGTGTTCTTCAATGAAAAATAAATGCATAGGATAATAAAGTCTTCTGTTAGCAAAATGTCTTTGTAATGAATTTTCAATTTGTTGCTCTCCACAGTCACTGTCTCCTTGGATCTCTGTTGCTACATTGGAGAAGGATAAATCAGAGACATCAAACTTATCATTTTGCCATCAGCATTTGATGTATCTGTGCAATGCCATCACTTAACACTGATCCATGTTTGGCTTATGTGCCCCTAGAATATATAAAAGAGTGGGTTGGTTTTTAGGCATATCCTGCCACGACGTGTCATGTGCTTGGAGTTGTGTTATTAGCAAGGGGAGCAGCCACTGCTGCAGCCTGGGCTTGCTGATGCGCAAGCTTGCTGCCAGAGACAACCCGTCAAAGACCTCCAACTTGGCTAAAGCTGAGTTTTCCAGGGTAGCTGGCACTGGTTTTATAGCACCCAGTCCCAAGTGCCGTCTGAGTGCTATAGTTGCCATTCACACTGAGATGTGCCAGGAGGCTGTTACAATTTTCTCTACCAGAAAACCTCCACCCATCGCCTTCCTCTCTCTTCCAGCTACAAGAAAAACCTATGAATAGAAGCAAGCTCCTATTGATATCCTCATTTGCCAGATGATGAACCCAAATGGCTTTATCAATACTTAAAGTAATATTATTTTGCCATATAGGCAGGTCCAAGCTCATCAGCCCCACAGCGTGTTCCCATCCTGCAGAATCCCTGCCAGCATTCACTGCTTGTCTCTTTACCCCTTCCCGGTATTTCTGTGTTGGTGGGAGAGATGCCAGCGAGGCTGAAGGGAAGAGAGACGCTGCTGTTGTTAATTTGACCTTTATGAATTTCAATTGCAGTCTCTCCCCAGGGCAGTGAGTGAGTGAATGGAACCGCACGCGGGAGCAGCGGCGCGGGGAGCGGAGCCGACGCGGTGGAGAGGCTGGTGGTTGAGCTGTCGTGCTGGGTGAGACCATTCCCGAGGCTGCCCGCGAAGGAGACGCTCGCAGGTAAATCCCAGGCAAAAAACAGAACAGCCTAAAGCGGTGAAGAGTGTCGGCCAGGGCTAGTAGCAATTGGATTCTGATTCCTTTTACTGATCCAAGCAATGGCATGCTCCGGGCTCACTCCACTTAAGTGGCTCCTGCTGGGCTGTTTGTGAAGGCATCATTAATTAGAAAGAGACTTTTGCATCTGCTCAGATTTCCCTTTTCTTCCCCAGGAAAGTGCCACAATGGGAAGTGGCCACGCAGGCGCTGTGGGATGCGTTGCCCCAACAGGTAAAATGACCTTGGCCCTCCCTGAAGAGCTTCCTGGCAGGGCGAGGGCAGCAGCAGCTGCTCCCACATCCCCAGAGAATGTAAATCACCAGGAATACAAATTCGCTGTCCGTGGAGATGTGTGAGCCGGGAGCCCCAGGGACATGCACTGTTCCAACCTGGACAAGGGGTGCTGATCTTGCTTATGTTTCTTGTAAATTAAGATTAATTAAGCCTAATTTGGGGGGTTCCTAATGTTTGGCGGTGGCATGGGTTATTTTTCAGGGGAGAAGCCCTCCTGGGACGCTGGCTGGAGGAGCAGCGGGCCTCGTGTCATCAGCACGTGCCGTTTCCTTATGGTTGTGCAGTCGTTAACGAATTAAGTCTCGCAGCCTCGTTGCAGTTCTCATTAATGTCATTCTAACAACTCTCCCTCTTAAATAGCCTCAAAACCAACTTTCCAGTTTTGCAAATGTCCCTCCTTACAAATCACTGCCTGAATCATGCAAGGCTTAAAGAGATGTGGGCTGACGCTGAACCATCCTAATCAATGACACATGTAAGACAATTAGCTTCAACTTTGGACCTCTTGCTCTAGCCTCCCTAGAGCCAAGGCTGCTCATAGATGCTCCAGCTGCACTCCAAATCCGCCAGGTTACTCCAGACTGATGGGTCAGATGCAGGGATGCTCCAGAGATGTTGCAAATCTGAACCCTGGTGATTCTGGAATAATAGTAGCCAAGGGGCACCAAGTCCCCCCTGGAAAATTGGGAGTGACCAGGCCAATGATGGGGCATTCCCATTAGCAGCCTTCCTCTACCCAGGGCTTTCCACCTCCAGCTCGTGATGATGGTGATGGTGCTGAAGTCTCCTGGTGATGCCACGCAGTGGTTGGGCTAATACTGAGTGTTTTTGCAATGTCTTGGCAGCCCTTGTTCCCAGGACTGTGGTTCAGTGGCTCAGTGGGTCCTGCTCTCTCTCGCCAGGTCTGGAACCTCAGCTCCAAAAACGCTGGTGTCCCCTTGCCAGGCTGAGCACCCATCCCCTCCCAGAGCCCACGGCACCCAAGGCTTTGCCAGTCGGTGCAGCGGTGAATGAGCTGCTAGCAATCCGTATTTTTTTAAAAAGGAGTTTTCAAAGCTGTTGCTAAGGAGAGCTATGTGGCGGGGAGCCATCCATCAATACGTGGCCTCCGAGGCCATTTGTCACCCTGATGGAGCGCGCTGCTCTGATGAGCAGTGACTGGGGCAAGGCGGGCAATTGCTCAGAGCCTGCTCGGGTCTTCATTCAATTGAGGAAAAATAAATTCTTCAGCATCCCTGCATTGGGGAGGACCTTCTTCCCTGTCCCTGTCAGCTCCTCTCCTCTCCTCTCTCTAAGCCACCTCCCGCCTCCAAACCTGTCGCAGCGGAGGTGACATCTAAACAGCATCTCAAATATAGACCAAAGCTTGTTTTGAGACACAAACATGCCTGGAGCCTGACCTAGCTGGGTGACAACCCGTGCACAAGTGTTGAGCATGAGCTCCCTCAAACCTGCATCACCAAGGGAGCCCCTGCCCATCCTCATGTCCTCCCAGGGTCCTTGTAACTTGTGCTGGGTGGATGAGTGGCCAAAAGCGGCTAGCAGCAGATGAGGTGACGCTGTGGGATGGAGGGTGGCTGTGCCCTGGGATGACGGTGGCCATCCTATGCTGGTGACCTGGTCTCAGGTCTGGGAAAAGCAGGAACCAAGAGACCCATAACCTCTGGCCACTGCTGTGGGCTGAGGGATGGAGGAGGAGGGGGGATGTAGAGGACAACAGTCTTGGTTGTCCCAAAGACCATCTCGACTCTGGGCATCCTGGGCATGGTGCAGACAGTGTGGGAGCAGGTGGTGGGCAGAGCTCTCCTCACTGTGCATTGCCTGACAGCCCTCCATTTTTCATTATTTTTAGATTTCCCGAGCTTTGCAGCTCTTTCCTGTCTCCCTGGCACATTCCAACATAAGAACCCCAGGAGAAGGAGCCACAGATGGATCCGGAGCAGCCCCTTGGCCACCTCCTCCCACCCGCCGCCCGTGCCGGCGCAGCGCGCGGTGCCCGGGGACGTCGGCGCACTCACCCGAGTGGTTGCTCGCCGCGGGCAGGCTCTCGCAGTACTGCTCCTGCACGGAGGCTGCAGCGGGGCCGCCCCAGCAGAGAAGCGCCTGCAACGTGGGACAGAGGAGCAAGGTCAGGAACGCGACACGCGGCATCCCGCACGGCGATGCGCGTCCTGAAGGGCTTGTCGGGAGGGAACACGGGGCCAAACTCACAGCCATGGGGTAGAGCTCCTCCAGAGCAGCTCCTGGATGGCCATGCAGCTCCTCGGCATCAAAAGGAATTGACTCGCCAGCTGATTTGCAGCAGCTGCTGCTGAGTTATGGTTTCTGGTAGCAATTGCAATAATTTTCCAATGCTGGCAAGTTCTGCATGGAAGGAGCAACGGAAGCCTCTGCAAGTGGGGGCTGTGGGAGATGATCAGCATGGGGCTACCATCATTGTGGCTGAAGAGCTGGAGAAAACCACCTGCAAGTCTCTGCTCAGCCAGATGCACGGCCGTTGCAGGCACTTGGGGAAACCAAATCCACAGAAAACCATTGTAAGTGTAAGGAGGCAGAGTGACAGAGCTGTTAGACCCCAGGCTTGCAAGGGAGGGCTTCCAGCTTCCTTGGGAAAATTCACCTTGGGCCTGGGAGCAAGAAAAGCTGCAGCCTCCTCTGCTTAGGAGAAAGCTCCCATCTCCTGGTGGCTTCAGGCTCCTGTGTTGTGCCTATAAAACGAGCAGCTTCCTCCTTCCCCATCAGCTAAGTGAGTCCCTGGTGCCCCGTTGTCCTTCCTTGGTGCCATTTACCTTCCAAAGCGCTCCAGCTGGGGAGGACTTGGTCCTCCCCGTGCCCTTTAGCAGTATAAACAGTGACTTCTCACCCCAGAGCCTAGCGATCCTTGGAGCCTTGCCAAAGCATTAGCAGGATTTATTCAGCCGCGGAGACAAGCTCAGCACCCACTTGCTCTTTCCAAGCAGCTATTTACTGCCTTGGGAAGCCGGTTTTGACAGAAGCAGCAATGTCAGGCAAACCTATAAATGGAGCCCAGAACAGCTTCCGTGTTGTGACTGCTCCAGGTAGCACCCAAGGGATGGAGCCACGAGAGAAAGCGATGGGCATCGGTGGCAAAACGTTCCCTCCTGAGAGGGGCCAGAGGGTTTTCCTGCCTGCAATGGCTTTCAAGCGGTGACGGATGTGTTTGCCCTAACGTTTTCCTGCTCCAGCCTCTTCTTGCCTCTGTGGCACAGGGAGAGGTCTCGACATGGAGCAGCCACGACCATCACGGCCACTACAGCTAGAGGAGGAGCTGGTTAGAGCCGGGGGCTCTTTGCAGATGAGCTAAAAACACTGAAGTGGGAGAAAAAACCTCCCTGAAGCAAAACAAACAAACAAACAAAAAACCCTGATGGCTTCTTTTACCAAGCTCGATTTTGTCTTGTAGAAACGCAGGGCAGAGCTGCAGCCCAGCAGCAGGGCAGGCCTGGGCCCACTCCACGGCCTAAACGCGCAGAAGGCGGCACGAGCTGTGCCAGAGCGGGATGTCGGGTGGCAAATGCCCTGCACGGAGTCAAAGGTTTATTCCCCTCCTGTCCCAGCCCCAGCCATGATGCTATGGGGAAATAGGCTGAGAAAGCCGCAGGTCAAGAGGATTTTGCACAAGCTGGCGGGGAATCAGCAGCATTTTCTCCTTTGCAGGTTACTTGGGACTCCCCAGGCTTGCAGAGAGAGCAAGGGAAAGGCAGCCACGTCCTTTCACAGCTCTCCCTGATGGAGCCGAGCTGCCACATGGCATCAGCAGGTCCCATCCCTGCCAAGGCTGGAGCGAAGCACGTGCCGATGGGCTGCGGTGGCAACGGGATGTGCTCCCAGCCAGGACAAGCCGCATCCCTTGATGGGATGATGCCACAAACCACTCGGTTTCTCCTAAAACTTTTCTGCTTTCTGCCTCGTCAACCATGAGAGAAAGGTGGTGCCGGGGGGCTGAGGTGGTGTCGGTGCCCATCAGCATCTGGAGCTCAGGCCCTGCCCGGCCAGGGCGGCTTGGAGGAGCGCGAGCGCGGAGCGATGCTCGCAGGCGTGCGCGGGCGGCATCCGTCCCGCTGCCCTGCCGCTGACCCAGCAGCGCAGCTCAATTAATAACAATTAGCGAGGAACATTTCCCTGCAGCGCTTTCCCTCTCCAAAGCAATCCGTGTCTATTAATTAACTAATTGCCCTCTGAGGCAGACATCAGCCCTGCTTCCTCCCCAGAGATGGCCTTGCCCCCCCAGCCTCAGTATTTCATTGCCTTGAACAAGCTGTCGTGGCAGTGGCAGGGAGGGCTGGCAGCTCTGAGCGATGAGACGGATGGATCGTACACTAATTAATGACCTAATTGGCCTTGGGGTTTCCGCTGCCCGCAGCCAAAGGTGCCG